GACTAAACCAGAGTCGGGCCGACCCCTTAAGTGTTACGGGAAAAGCTTGACACATCATCTCATCAGGGAATGCATGGAGGACCATGAGGGTCCTGTAAGTCTCCAGGTGGTCGACTGGGTCCGTTGTACCGTTGAAAGAGTCAATCGAGGGCATTTTGAACTTAGGAGGTAGGGGTTTGTCCCTAATGGAGGCAACAAATGGTGAGTTGGCTGTGGTGGAGGGTTTATTCTGTATGTTCTGCATGACTCCTTGAAGCTGGAGTTTTATGGCCTGAAGTTCGGCATCCCAAAGGGAAACGTTGTTACCGCTGGAATGTAATGGAGGCTGGACACTACTGGGCTCTCCCTAGGGGGCGGGCGCTTGGAAGGACAGGTGTGGGGCTCGAGGTGGCGGGTTTATTTCTAGATGAGGGGTTCGCAAGCCCTCTAAGTTGGATGGTTGGGATTGTTGGATGGGGTGGCTAGGGGCTCGGTCTCGGTTAGGTGGTATATCTTGAGGTGGTGGCGGGGGTATGGAGAGGTCTCTTTAAAGCAAAGCATTGATTAGGGCTTGGTTTTGCTCGACTAAGCGATTAATGCCGTTGGTGAGTTTTGTGAAATACGGCAGTGGGTTGTTTGGGTTAGGAGGGTCGGCTTGGGGGTCGGCAACGTTGTGTTAAAAGGCCATGGATCTAGTTGTGACCATTCACCTGGGTGGGTGGCAGATAGGGATTATCGGGAATGGGTCTCCGGCGACAATGAGCACAATTGCCACACGAAGCAAAAGGATTCCCACAGACGGCAGCAACTGATGTAACTGTATGCTCCAGAAGGAACAGGCCGGGTCGATCCACGCTTCTCAAACCGTTATCCAATTGATGATGCCTACAGAGAGACCTGCAAAAGAGTTCAACGGGGAACGGAGAGTCCCCCAATGAACCCTCCGACGAGCAACTTAGAGAGGTGAGAATGGCGAAGATGTAGAGAGAGGATGGAGATAGAGAACTTAACATTTTTTTCGTCTCAGAGGCTTGCTTATATCATTTGCTCATCATTTCCTTGTCCACTCCGAGCCGTTATCTTGGCCGAAAGTCTATGTTCTAGCTTGCCTTGTTCATGGTGAGGCTGTTCTATTCCAACGTGAAGGGTTATCGTAATAAATGCTGCAAGGGAGCTCATTAATGACTGATGTGTGGTGCAATAACTTTGCAGGATCTTTATCTGTTGATGTGGTTGGTTCTGCACTTGCCAGGTGTTTAGATGTTATTGGCGCTTGGTGTAGCGTTGGGTTCTAAGAATGTTAAGTTTTAATATTTGAGTCACGGATTGGGACTTAAGTAGTGGGGCATATCCTTAATAGACTTACCCACGTCACTATATTAGCTTAAGAGATGCAACCACGTGTCCATCCATTGGCAACCCCTACTTGTTCATGATTCATAACTGCTGTAATTGTGTTCAACTTCCTCCTGAAACAACGTGTTTTGTATCAGAAGACTTTCATGAAGAGTCACCATCTTCGTTTCCAGTATTCTTGGGCCCGGTCATATTTTTATTCTTTGTTATGCCTATTGACAAAGAAAATTAAATTTTGGGTGGCAACGCAAGTCACGTTCAAATAAAATTTTAAACTTGTTAAGTTTTTCATTCAAACTTAAATAACTTATTACTTTAACTCGATACGTTTATATGGATTATAAAATATCAAATTACTCGAGGTAGATTTATATTCAGCTCATTAAAAATTTATTTAAATTTGATTCGTTATGTAAACAAAACAAATTCAAATATATTTTAAAATTCATTAAAATTTTAATTCAGGCTTAAATAATTTCTCACTAAGCTCTCGACTTATCACCTTTATAGCGTTTCCTTCTGTGAATACCAATTAAACAGAGAAATTAAATTAATCAAACAATTGACGGAGAGAGCCTTGGAAGCAAACAAAAGTTGATGAACTATAAGTTAATTTAAGTTATTTTGATGTGTTTGGTTTAGCTTAACAATGCAGCTTATAGTTTTTTGTAACTCAGAAATCAGCTAATTCTTTGAGTGGGGCAGGAGAAGCTTAATTTATAAGTCAGAAATCAGCTTATGTTCATAGTTATAAGCTATAAGCTGTTAAGGCATAAGCTATAAGCACTTTCCCACAACTTTACCAAACAGGGCCAAAGAGGCCTTGGAAGCTACTGTAATGGGTCCTTGGAAGCAGTGGCCGAGCCACAGCTGGTCCAGCGGGTCACGTGCCTGCTGAATTTTGGAATAATTTTTTTTTAAATATAAAGAAAATATTTTAAAAAAAAAATTATAAAATATTATTTAGAGTGAAATATTAATGACATTTTTAAAATTATGAGAATAATAATAGTTATTTTTTTATTGAAAATAAAGATATTACGATAAGTCATTATTATTATCTATGAAAATTTCAATACAATGGTAATGTCTATCATTATTGATATACAATTATAATTAATCTCAATGAAAATTTGAAATTTATTGAATTGTTAGTTACACATGCGGGGTTAATCCTCTATGTGTTTATTTATTATTGGTTTGTGATATCATATGTCAATGATGACGTAGTATTACTATTATATTGAATTTTTATTGAAATTTTGTATAAAAAAATTCTTTATCATTATATAATTTATTTTAAAACTTATATCCATGACTTTTTTTTTTATTTTGTCCATGATATATACTAGTTACAAATAATATATATATATACATATATATATAAATATATATATTTATCTTTCTTGAAGTCAATCGTAAATATTTAAGTGAAATATTTTTGTAAAAATTTTCAATGTTGTAATTAATAAATGTCCCATCTGATTTAATTTTTTTCCTCCGCCACTGACCATGTGGCACTATTTTTCTAGCGTGGAGGGAACAAAGAGGCCTAAGCTATTAAATTTGAATCTATACCATTAGATATAACAGTTGCAATTTGAATTCAACTCTAAGCAAAACAATTGGCATTAACCAGTTCTTACAAAGTGTTGGAACCTAACGACTCTCTATTTAAATGTGTGAGCAAAAAATTGTATGAGATTTGCTCATAAGTTGTGAATTAGGGACATCCATCTTCAAGGGGATTCCTTGTGCATTGTTAAAGCAATCAATATCTTAGAGGAAGTGCAATTAGTGTGTGGTTGGCTATGAAACACGGGTATGGATACGAGTATTGGTACTGGTATGAAACGAATATGTCAATACGGTAAAATTTAAAAAAAAGTAGGGTACGGGTACGGTTTATTTAATTGTGTAAAAAATAAAATAAAATAAAATTTTATTTAATCTAGCTAAAAAATTAAAATATTAAAGATATGTTTAATATTGCTCTTACTTAATAAACAATTAAAAAAAGATAAAATAGTCATTTGTTCATTTATCCTATCTAGTCCGTCTAACCAAACGTTAGATTTACTAAAAATAATCATTTTCAGACATCTAATTCCATGAAAAAACAAACCCATGATACATATCCAATCCAACCAAATAGTCTGAGGGATTTACAATCCCAGGACTCAAGTCCGATGAATTCTAATATCCCTTATCCAGTCCGTTCAATTAAACATACCATTAATACCTTCTAATTTAATTTCTTCCCTCCACCACTGCCTGGAAGCAACGGAATTGTACTTACAAACCACACAGAGAGTGAAGTAAAAGACTTTGGATTTATGAACGCACTCACACACAGCAACAACCAAAACGAGTGCAATTATATGAAAATTGTAGGAGTTAGCGTATTTTTTTTGAGAAAAAAGAGATTAGTATAATTTATTCAAAAATTAACTTGTGATTTGGACTCACATTTGTGTGTATGCTCCACTCTACAAGATATGAATTTAATCAACACAATACTTGTCTTAATATTTTTGTGTAGAAAAATGATTGATACACTGAATTTGAACTCATTTAAATTGTCTGAGTTACGTAAGTCAGACGATCATCTAGATAACCGGCATCACTTTTGTCAATTGTAGTTGTTATCCTTGTCAATTACGACTGTCACCCTCATTCAATTGGCATCTGCTGAATGATTGGCTGGACAACTGGTATATACAAATTCAATCGATTCAAACGAGACCAAATTTGGTGGATGTGGCATCCCCTTTTGTGGATGTGAATTCTTAATATGGTTAGAGGAATTAAATAATAAAAAGTAGAAATGAAAGAACTAAATTAATAGATGACACTAGAGCATAAATTTAATTTAAAATTTTTAGAGCAATAATTTTAAGTTCTTTTGAGCAGTAAAGATAATAATAATTTCAAATACTATATTATTCTTATTTATTTGTCCATCATTCTTTTTATTTAATCACGGTCGTCTATCTATCTATTTATCTGTACAACATTACTTATATGTTTACATCACCACCATACCACCCGTCATCTTTGGTGTTTTTTCGGCAGCAATTCAACAACTTCAAATAAAAAAAGAAATCATTTAAAATAATAAATTATCCTTCCCACCAAATTCCATCAACTTAATACCATACACACCCTTAAAAGTAGAGTAATTATGGGTGTGTTTGGTACGTGTTTGTAGAGTAATTTTTGAGATAAAAAGTATAAAAATTTGTTTGGTTTGTTTTTTTGTTTTTTTTATAAATGATTTTGAAAAATTGTTTTGAGGAGAGAGTTTTAAAAAAAGTGATTAATTTGATATATATAAGAGAAAGAGTGATTTTAGAAAATAGATAACCAAATAAAATTTTGAATTTTTTTAAAAAAAATTTATTTAATTTAATTACTCTTGAAAATTTATTTGTAAAAATTTTTTTTAAAAATTTTTTCTGAAAAAAAACCAAACAAGCCCATAATTTTTCCACAGAAAAACAAGACAAAATTGGAGGTACAAATTGATATAACTCATCATCAATAATACTTATATGATGGACTAGTTCCACATGATATGGCACCACCAGATCATGCCCATATCTTATCCCATCCTCATTCCCCAGTCCTCATAAGAAAAGCTCTCATTCCTCCTCCTCCTTCTTTCCCATTTCCACTCACCCTCAAAAATGGCCACCATGTCTCTACCCTCCACCCCAACAATCTCACCATCCCTAATCCTTCGACCTCGCACTTGCACTTTCACTTCTCTTTGTTGTTCCTCTTCGTCTCTCTTCGGTCCCTCTCTCATCTCCCCCAAATTCCCCAAACCCAGAAAAATTCCCCCATTTTCCACCACCATTTCCATGTCTATGGAAGCTGGGGTGGGTGTAATGGGGACCAAATTGGGCATGATGAGTTTTTTTGAGCCCGGTGGTACTGTTGTCCCAGTCACTGTTGTGGGTTTCAGAGAAGGCAACATTGTGACCCAGGTCAAGACCGAGACCACAGATGGCTACAATGCGGTCCAAGTCGGGTACAGGAGGGTTCGAGACCGAAAGCTTACTAAGCCGGAGATGGGTCATCTTCAGAAGTCTGAAATCATCCCCTTGCGTCATCTACAGGAGTTTCGGTTAGTTTCTGTTGATGGGTTTGAGCCTAACCAGCGTTTGGTTTTGGAAGAGCTGTTTAAAGAAGGGGACTTGGTTGATGTTTCTGGAACCACCATTGGCAAAGGGTTCCAAGGTATATGCTACTCTTTAATTATGTTTGTATAGAATGTATGTTAACTGTGTGTGTAATTGATAATTTTGTAAATTAGCAATGAAACTAATAAGGGAATGTAGAATTGTTTGATGGTGAATTCATACTCCGTGGGTCTGTTTTGATTGTTTCAGCTTTTCATTTTTTACCATAGTGCTTACAATTTGATATTTGGTGGTGATATGATGCACATATTATTTGTATTCACATATTGGTGGACTCAGAAATTGTAAGAAGGGGGGCAAAGTAAAATTATTTAGATTTTGGAGGCCAAAATACTAATTTATGTTATACAAACTCAAAATTGCATGAAAATAATGTGATTTTTCAAAGGTTTGGGGCAGCTAAAATACTATTTTAGTTTATAATTACTGAAAATTGTACGAAAGTAATGAATTTTTTCAAAATTTTAGGTAGCCAAAGTAAAATTATTTTGATTTTGTAGGGGCTGAAGTAAAAATTATGTAAAATTTTGAAGGGGTTAAAATGCAAAATTCTTTTATAAATATTCAAAATTGCATGGTAAAAATTTTGGAATTGTTATTGTTTCTGCTCCTGTGTAATTTGGAATTGTTATTCTTAAGCTGTGTTCTAGTATAATAATTTGTTGCTTATACGTACTCAAAATTGCATGAAAGTAATGAGATTTTTCAAAGGTTTGGGGCATCTAAAATAATATTTTAGTTTATAATTACTGAAAATTGTACGAAAGTAACGAATTTTTTCAAAATTTTAGGGAGCCAAAGTAAAATTATTTTGATTTTGTAGGGGCTGAAGTAAAAATTATATAAAATTTTGAAGGGGTTAAAATGCAAAATTCTTTTATAAATATTCAAAATTGCATGGTAAAAATTTTGGAATTGTTATTGTTTCTGCTCCTGTGTAATTTGGAATTGTTATTCTTAAGCTGTGTTCTAGTATAATAATTTGTTGCAAATTCATATATATATATATATATATCCCCACCCTTTCAGCTAGGCTGTAGGATTATCAGGATATTTTAGAAATTGGAGGTGAAATCTTTGAGACGGATACATTTGTGCCTAGAGGGAAACTCTTAAAGGACAAATAAAATAGTGATGGAAATCCTTGGAAATATGATTAATTCCTACTTTGGAGGAGTTTAAACAACCATAACCATAACAAAATAAAGCTACCCATACCATAGGTTGTGATTATATGAATCCATCTGAGAAGAAATCTAATAACTTAAAAGAAAAAGGATGATGATGAGAAATTCAGCCGAGAGGAGGGAGGATGAGATAGATGGGATGGGTGCCTAAAGCTGTTGGATTGTAGAATGCACAAACAAGGCATTGGCTTCACGTATCATGTGGCAGGGAAGAGGAGACAGACTTAAACACAATTTTGTTCTCAGTGCTATAATTACCCATGAGATTGATCCTATGTGATTGAGAACCTCTTTGTGGTGTTAAGAAGTAAAAGGGCCTATGAAGAGCCAAGCCCAATACCTAAAATTCATGTAAGAAGAAAAGGACATGCGAAGACCTAAAGCTGAAACAAACCATACTGGTTTGATAAATTCACACATCAAGAAAAGATGCTCTTGTCTTGGACTTAAATTAATTGATCGAATGAGATTTACCATCTTTACAGTAAGCTAACATTTACAAAACAACTCAAGTGCTTAACGGCTCAATCTCATATTACTTGGTCCATCAGATTTGATGTGTTAATGCATCAGTAATTTTTACGTAGATAGTATCCTTGGCTCCTTTAAGCCAGATACTCAATCTCATAGTACTTGGTCTATCAAATTTGATGTGCTAAGGTGTCAGTAATTTTTACATAGATAGTATCCTTGGCTCCTTTAATCCAGATAATGTAAAATTGACCCATTCTTCTACATGCTTGATCAATTGAATGTGGTGTAGATGAACTATAGTTGGTGAAATTTGATTTTTTATATGGTTTCTTTCTCTACCAGAATTTCCCTGTACTCCATCTGGACTTGATTGAGATATATGGAAATTATGCAGCATTTAGGCTGGGCCTAAAAGTCAATTAACCCCATATCATTTCCTTATTTTTGAAGTGCATATTCATTATCTCAACTGAGGGCATAAGAGAAATGTCAAAGCTACCATAATAGATATTTGTTTTATTGAGTTCATGACCATAGTAAGTTTAGTTTTGGACCATAGGCTAGATTAGCTATTGGGTTTGACTTTTAGAATCCATAGACTTGGTGACGTAGGACAACTTGCTGGATTTTTAAACAGAGGCTATTTAAAGGCCCAAACAGTGAGTGATTTAAATTGAAGGCTAATAGGAAGGAGAAGAGATTAGGGATGATTTGGGGGTAATATAGGATAAGGTTTTGGGGCTGCAATGTACATTTTTAATGAGCTGTGATTGATAATCCAAGAACAACAACTTGGGTATGTGCGCAAAGAAGAAGAAAGAAAGGAAGAAGAAGAAGAGGGAGAAAGAGGTGCTTCACCCTCGCAAGGGTTAGGCTAATCACACACAAACACAATATCAAATTCTTATAATATAAACTCTTCTATTGAATCATGAAGATTACACATATATTTATAGGCAAAGACTATCCTACTTCTATAAGAATCATGACTCAGTGTTTTAAAAAGCTCTAGGCGCATTGAGGCACTAAGGCCTTTTGGAGCTTAAGCGTGAGGCGTAAGGCTCGGCACACGCCTCACCGAAGATAACCAAAATATTAATACAGGCGAAAATTTTAACATAAAACAAATATTTTTAGAATTTCAAAAGATAAAAAATAAATAATTAAATAGAACGACATTCAATATTTCAAAAATCATGAAAAATAATATTCAACGTTTTAAAAATTTCTCAAAAATAACATTCAATCTTACTTGGCGCTATATTGTTTATCTTTCTTTATCAATTTATTAATGTGGTTCATTTATTTTAAATAAGGAACTCACACCATATAATACCTTAGTAGCTTTAATTTTAAATCGGGACCAAATTGTCTGATAGCTTCAATCATTGGCCTGAAATTGTTGTAATTTACTACATTGAAAGGAATCCCAAAGCCATATATCCATCTTGCAATTCCAGAGCTTTTGCTTAATGCCTAAATCTTTTTTTGATATGAAAATTAGGGTTCAAAACATGTGTTTGCATTTTATATTAAAGGGGTTGTAATTCCATATGGTTATACACACAAAGAATAAGGATGGAGCAAAAATTTAAATGAAGCACATGAGGCGTGCACCTCCCGCCTAAGTCTAAGGCGCGCGCTTCAAGCGCCTCAAATGTGCCTTTCCCATTGTGCCTCTCCTCAAGTTGTCTGAAGTGCCTCAGGTGCGTTTCAGTGCGCCTCGTGCCTAAGCGCATGCTTAGGCGCGCCTTCTAAAACACTCATAATATTTGGCAACTACTAATATTCTAGACCAACTGAGACTATGACTTCCAATTCCACTTTAATCTCATAATAAGAAAGTTTGATGACTTCTAATTCTACTCCAACTTCAAAATAGAAGACTTGGACCTTTTTGACCACTAAGATTATTGTAGACATAATAAAATTCATATATAATGACTCATTTAATAATTTGACCTAAAATAAAACCTATAGGTAACCTTACAACCCATGTCTATCAAAACTGAAGTTACCATAATACCCTTAACTACTAAACACTACCATGGACACTTCTCTTTGGACCAAAAAGGCTTCTTGATGAACATAGGACCCTTAGACTCTGTGTTGGGCTTCCACAGCCTATCTAAGATTGCCATCAAAGCGGGACCAAATTGTCTGATAGCTTCAATCATTAGCCTGAAACTGTTGTAATTTACTACATTGAAAGGAATCCCAAAGCCATATATCCATCTTGCAATTCCAGAGCTTTTGCTTAATGCCTAAAGCTTTTTTTGATATGAAAATTAGGGTTCAAAACATGTGTTTACATTTTATATTAAAGGGGTTGTAATTCTATATGGTTATACACACAAAGAATAAGGATGGAGCAAAAATTTAAATGAAGCACATGAGGCGTGCACCTCCCGCCTAAGTCTAAGGCGCGCGCTTCAAGCGCCTCAAATGTGCCTTTCCCATTGTGCCTCTCCTCAAGTTGTCTGAAGTGCCTCAGGTGCGTTTCAGTGCGCCTCGTGCCTAAGCGCATGCTTAGGCGCGCCTTCTAAAACACTCATAATATTTGGCAACTACTAATATTCTAGACCAACTGAGACTATGACTTCCAATTCCACTTTAATCTCATAATAAGAAAGTTTGATGACTTCTAATTCTACTCCAACTTCAAAATAGAAGACTTGGACCTTTTTGACCACTAAGATTATTGTAGACATAATAAAATTCATATATAATGACTCATTTAATAATTTGACCTAAATAAAACCCATTGCGATCTTGACAACCCATATCCAACAATTATTGAAATTACCATAATACCCTTAACTACTAAAACCTACTATAATGACATAAAGACTCAAAATTAGAATAAATACAAATAAGGACTCAAAATTATTCCAAATCTCCAATTCTTGATGCCCTAAACGCGCTTCATATGAAATTCCATATTTGCTTTCTTTTTTTTTTTTTTCCGTGTTCTTCATCACTTGATTATTTGGCTTTTTGCTTTTGGTTAGTTACGTTCTGAGCTTATTACAGTCAGAACCTTGCATGATTGAATGCAAGGGTTTGAATGAGAACTAATTAAAATACATAATTGGCTTTCTAGAGCATTCACTATTCAAACGCTAGGCCTTTTATTCGGACGTAGTATATTCTGCTTTGAAATATGGAGCACTTGTTTCATCACAGTGTGCTTATCGTTCGTGGTAGCTTACTGTTCGGCCGTGTGTCCTTTGATGCGTGATTTTGTAGTGTGTTTGGAATGGAAGCCTTTGGATCTTGATTTCCTTGTTCACTTAGGATTTCTATTAGTACATACTGGAGCCTTGACTTACTTGTAAGGGTTAACCACTACACTGGGGGCTTAGAATTCTTGACAGCGCATTATAGTCTAGTTTCTATCTTTCAAATTATTTTAAGAGGGTTTCTAGGTCTAGTAGTTTGTGTCGCCGGAATTTGACCAAGTTTGGTTTTCCACGTAAATCTTTTCTTTCTTGTTTTATTTCTCTTTATTTATATCTACTTAAATTAATTGGTTTATTATTTAATCTAATAAATTTGCTAAATTAAAATATTCTTGTTAGTCTTGATTTAAACTAAAAACAACGGAGGGAGGTTTTTTCGCATACTCTGACTGAAAACCTTGTTTTCAAAACATGCCTCATTATCTTCTTGGTAAAATTATAATTGATTTTGCTGTGTTCTGAGTTTGGAAACATAATCCTATTGCACTTACTGCTTTTTGTCTTTATGGTGTTATTAATTGTTATTTTTCTTTTTTATTTGATTTTTGTTTTAGGTGGTATCAAAAGACACAACTTTAAGAGAGGCCTTATGACACACGGATCTAAGAGTCACAGAGCTCTTGGATCAATTGGTGCCGGGACAACTCCTGGCCGTGTGTATAAAGGGAAAAAGATGCCAGGGAGAATGGGAGGAACCAAGAGAAAGATCAGAAAACTCAAGATTATGAAAATTGACAATGATCTCCGAATTGTGATGATCAAAGGGGCTCTCCCTGGTAAGCCAGGAAACCTTCTCCGAATAACACCTGCAAAGATTGTTGGGAAGAACATACCTAAAAGTTAGTTTTGTGTTGACGATCCAAAAAAAAGAGAAAAAAAGAAGAGTTTTGTGTTGTATTTCTTGCTCTTTTACACTATTGATATTAAATGTACTTACTTTTTGGTTAAGTAGTATCTCAGCTAGATCTGCATGTTGGTTTATGTCAATTTATTATATTTTATTATATTTTGATCAGCGTAACTAAGAACAATGAGGTGCAATTGCTTTAGAAAATTCATCTATAGTCATGATCTAATACAATATTTCTATACAATGATAATGATCTGCTTGATTGGGGCCTTGTCACTTTAAATTTAGGGCCTTCATCAGTCCTGGAAAAATTTGGATCCAGCCTAAAACAATGACAATAACAGGAAATTGAGATGCCAACATTCTGGTGAGCCTGGGCATCACATGGTTGTCAGTATCTTTGCTTCAGTTTTGATCATTGAATTTATGTTAAACTTTTCAAGAGGTTTAAAGACATGCAGTTATTGTGGGATAGTGTGTGTTATTTGGCATCATTTTGGGCCTCAATTTTGTCTGAATTTAAGGAGGCTCCGAGATTTTTGATATCTAGAGATTGGAGAACTATTTGTAATGTATAGTTTTTTTTTTTTTTTTTTTTGGTTAGGGCTGTTTGAATTATTGGACAAATATTTGTGTTATTTGTTTCATTTTCAAGAGGATTCCTTGTCCCCATTTTGTACTTCTTATTTATATTTAATATAATTCCTTTTGTTGCTGATTAAAAAAATAAAAAAGGAAAAAAGTAAGTATTGTTTTGCGAGAATATCATATTACCTAGTCACGGCTTTTGAAGCTATCCAACCAGCCCTAGCAGCTTTTTGGAACTGTTATTGCTAATGGGTTCTTCACTTCCAATATTAAAGGAATAAATTCAGTAGGTTGGTCCTATATTATTTCAGTTGTTGTTCAATTATCTGGGTGAATTTTATATGCACATTTGGTGTGCTTGTGTTGATACATCTTTTTGAGTTTCAAAAACGTTTGCAGTGCAGCAATGATTATATTGCTTCTTTTAAGCAGTTCTACTTCAAATTTTCTTGCTGATTATGTTCTCTGCTATGCATAAAATTTTTAGTGAATGAGTTGTCCAGCTTTGCCATTTCCATTGGCATTCCTTTTGGTTAATTTCTTAGCGATTCTTAATTTTTTAGGCATGTATCCATAAGTTGTCCAGGTAACTCAAGTTGAATGAAAATTTCAATCTACTGAATTTCGAATTGAATGCTCTAAGGCTGTGTTTGGTCGGAGGGTTTGGGAAGGGATTTGGAAAGGAAAAGGAAAAAGGTAGGTGAAATGTGAATAAAATATACTTACATTTTATCTCGTTTTACACTTTTTTCCTTTTTCTTTCCAAATTCCTCCTAAAATCCCCCAACCAAACACAGCCTTAAGATGTGGTATGGTGAGTGTGAAGTTGTGCAGATTTGGGATTCATTTATGAAACTTTCATGAATCCTGTCTACACTTAACCCTGTGGGAAAAAAAAATAAAATTAAAAGATGTCTATAGGTGAAAAGAAATAATGTCTATGCTTTGGTCGGAGGAGATGGCAGCAAATATGAAGATACCATTGACCACCATACCATATGCATGGAGTTGATTGGGCTCAGAATGTAGGATGTTTGTTTGCACATTTGGAAGAGCTTTGGATGTCTGTAAGTTAATCCACAATCTGCCCAGGGAATCACCTATCCCTTGAAGTTATATGAATGTGGTGAAAAATCTCAAGTCTGTCTTATATGTATCCTGCAAGTGAAACAAAGCTGTATTTTTTCCCCTTCCTACAGGTTTAGAAGCTGGAATTGCTGTGTTCTGCAATCATCAGTGCTTGGAACCACCATTAGGTATCAATGTTGCTTGGAAGGTAACTCCAATTCTTTGTGGTTGGTTCTTTGATGGGTCTGAGTTGATGACAGAAATCAGAGATTCAGATCTGACTCAACATAGCCTTCTTAATCACCCGAGGTATACTTTGAAGCCTTTTTAAAATAAATAAATAAAATTGTTATGCTATCCTCTTCCATTCTTTTAACTTCTATTTTTCTACTGTAGGTTTTTTTTTTTCTTTCTTATTTTTCAAGGTTATTGCTTCTTCTTAGGCCCTAGAGTTCATTAACAGTAATTTGGCAATCTCATTTGACACTTTTTCAGTTGTAATCCTATTTTAGTTTGTAGTGTATGTAGCATACTTCATGTGAATTGTATATTTGTGTGAATCCTTCTCATGGTCTTGAGTTGCATGCAAGTTAGAGCATCCGAACTATCGTTGACAAGCCCACTTAGTTCAAACAGACGAAAATCCAGAGTTCACCGCTCGAGCAGTGGTCTAGCGGTGAAATCGCTGTCTCTAGGTTTCAGACCCTACTGTCAGAGTATAGAAAATGCCCATTCACTGCTTATGGCTCTAGTGGTCTAGGTCGCAAAGTTAGTTAAAAAAGTCTGAATCTTCATCATTTCCAGATCATTGCTCTCTTTAGGAGTGTGAAACTGCTTCAGAACTTACCTAGTGAGAGTATTACAGATTACTTGATGCAGAATTTTGAGATCTATGAGTCCTTGAGCATCGATTGATCATCTTCAATATTCCATTTCATCTTTTTTCATCTATGGAGAAGTCCGGTGGATTCCAAAAGGCATTTGTTAAGTCCTTTGGTCGATTCTGAAGGCAGGGAGAGCAATGAATGTGGATTCAGCACCTTGAAGATCGATTCAGGGAGAGCAATGATTGTGGATTTGGCAAGAGCCACTTATGTGGATTCGCCAAGGATTGTAAGAAACTATTGTAATTGCTCCTTTGAATTAGTGATTTGATGTTCAGGCATTGAGTCTGTAGTTTTTCATCTCAACAGGAGGTTCTCAAATTGGAATTTACCACGTTAAAATCACACCACTCTCTTAGTTGTTTTTGAATTAATTGTTTACATACTTGATTTGGTTTGATCTAGCTATGGCTTTTGATCATTTGGTTGATGGATTTGTCAATTGGTTGAATTGGCCATCAAGTGTTTGACAAATTGCCTAGTAGAGCCATAATTGTTGAATCTATCAAGGGAATTTCACTTTTGACTTAGGAGCTTTTTAACTTTGTACCATGGATCTTGCACTGTGACTTTCAAAATAAACGATTCAAATTATGGAAATAAGATTCGTGTGAATCTCACAAGTCTGTACAACATTGTCTAGTCCACAAGCTGGTCCCTAAACTATTTTAGGTCCAGACAAACGGAGACACCAACGTGAATTTTACTATAAAAATAATGTGAATTTTAGTATAAAAATAGTTTTTGAACACATGACGGTTTTAGAGTTGGAGTTGAGCACGTTTGGTACGATAGAATGGGAAACATGTTGAAATAGATTGTTCATTCTAACTTGATATTCTCTTTAAAAGTTCAGATACGCTTTATATAAGTAGGAATAGTCAATTCAATAAAATGACTATTCCAACAAAACGTGAGAATGCCTATTCCCTCCTGCAATCGAAGAAATAGCCATTCTAATCCATCATGAATTACCATATTATCATTTAGCTACAATCACCATTCCCTTATGCTATCACCCATTCCACCACCTTATCACCCCCAACACAACTGCGGTCGCCACAAGTACAGTTACCGCTACCACAACCACACCACCACCATCGTTGCCACCACTACTACTATCACTTCTACAACCACTATATACCACCACCACCTTACTACCGCTATCGCCACTGCCACAACCATTACCACCACTTCCACAACCACAAAACCACCACCACCAGAGTCGTGTGAACCACTATCCTATTACCATCCCTCTTGCCACAACCACTGTCTCTGCTGCCATAACCACTACTTTATCACCACTATTACCACATTCACAAAAACCACAACCACCATCACCACCATTGTGAGAGCCACCACTCTACTACCGTTGCCTGCCGCCATAACCACCACTATCACAACTACAACTACCACAACACCACCTTATCACCACCACAAATACCACAATGACCTACCACCACTACCATTCTATTACCACTATTATCACCACCACTGATGCCACTGCTACCTCTACCAAAACTCACGCCATCACTTTCACAACTATCAAAACTTTCATAATTTGTATGAATTTTTAACTTGTTTGTTACTAGGTTGTTAAAAAAGAATAATAATAATAAAAATTTATTTCATTTCATTAGTTTAATAGGCATAATCAAATATGAGAATAAGAATTATGATCATATTTCTATGTCATTCTATGTTAGGAACCAAATAATGGAATGAAAATGGACATTCCATTCCATGCTACCTTGTATTCCATTCTCTCACATTTCATTCTCACTTCATTTCATTTCATCGTACTATACATAATCTGTCTTTTTAGAGCTATCACCCAAATAAAAAAATATATATATTCTTGTGATGGCTCCTATTCCTGATCAGAAATATAGTGAAATCATCTTTCCTAAAAATAGCCCCCACATTCAAAGCCCCTTTTTTACCATTAGCAAGAACTTGCTTTAATGTTGGTTTTACACTCTTGTGTTGCACTTTGTACCTCACAGCAGCAGTATCAATAATTTATTTCAGCTTTATCAAACGGAAAATGTATGAAAAATGTATCAAGACATGTAAAAATTGTATTGAGATATGTATGCCTCAAAGACTGACTGATGAAATGAATCCTCCGTTTGTTTGGGTATATGCATTTTTTAGCGTTTCGTACAATGAAAAATGAATGTGAACGGAAAAAAAATTTCACAGTCAATATAAAACAAACCTATTTTGACATTAAATATTTCACTATTAAAAGTTAAAAAATATTTTTTAGACTAAAATCTTACCAATATATCACCCCTCTACCACCGTTAGTGTCAGCCCCACCACCATCACTATTGCCATCATTGCCGCTGCCACCCTATCACCACGCCACCACTTAGGGCTGTTCAAAAATCCGTTCAAACCGGTAATCCGGACCGAACCAGACCGAATCATACGGTTTGGTTCGGTTCTATTAAGAATTGGTTCGATTTCGGAATAAGAAATATGAGAATCGTAAAAACGGTTCGGTTAATAGATTTTATGAAAAAATCGCGGTTCGAACCGAACCGAACCGAACCAAACCGAATTTTAAAAGACATATATATATATATAATATGAAGTTTTATTTTTATT